TTTAACTTATCTCATTTAGCAAATTGATATTGAGCTGCGTTCAAATAGGCAAGACTTCAAACTAATATAATCAACTAAGTTCTTGCCTGTTTAATCAAATGAGAATAGTGTTTCTTCGAAGACATTTAAAACGTGTTGAATTATAGATATCATTATATAACTAACCGCGTATGTTTGTTTGTAGTTACACTTTCCATGCGGCATACTTTTATAGAACAGAAAAAGAACGAATAAACACATCACGTGTTTTCTAACATCATTTATTGATAAGACAGAACAAAACCATACGTTATTTTTCTCTTCGTTTTATTCTATAGAAGCGAGTGAAAATTGAAAAGAATCAAAAGTATGAATATGATGATGTCAAATTTTATATTAAAACATATTAAGAAGACCATACAGGAGTGTAAAATATTTAAAGGATTTAATTTAGTAATTAATGGTATGTGCTTTTATACTAATGAAATAAGTTTTATTTTTCGAATGAATAATCATATGGTAGACTAGACTCAGACTCTCACATGTAGACAATATTGATATATGTAGAATTAGAAGTTAGACTTTTTTTAGATTAAATCGTTATTTAAATAACAATGAGTCAATCTACACAAGGTCGTCCACCTTATCCACCTTTTACAAAAGAAAGTGCTATTCAAAAAGTTCGTGCTGCTGAAGATGCTTGGAACAGTCGTGATCCACAACGTGTTTCTTTGGCTTACAGTGAAAATAGTCGTTGGCGTAATCGTTCTGAATTTATTAATGATCGTAAAGAAATCATTGCATTTCTTACTCGTAAATGGACAAAAGAACTTGACTATCGTTTAATTAAAGAATTATGGTCTTATGATGGAAATCGTATTGCTGTACGTTTTGCTTATGAATGGCATGATGATTCAGGTAATTGGTTTCGATCTTATGGTAATGAAAATTGGGAATTTAATGAACAAGGATTAATGATTCGACGTTATGCTTCTATCAATGATTTGCCAATTAAAGAAGAAGAACGTAAATTTCGATGGACACTTGGAAGGCGACCAGATCAACATGCTGGATTGACAGAATTAGATTTATAAACTCAAATAAAATGATAATTTCATCATATCATTTTTCAAATAAAAAAAAAAATACTGTCACGATATAAAAAATCTTTTATTCTAAAATAATGTGAAGGGCCTACCTCAGAAAAAGTTAATTTTGGTCAAAATTTATCGATTTTGTGATTTACAGCTCGTCAGACAGAAAAAAATGTCTACTCTCGAATGTATTATAGTCCGGTGAGTTTGTGATGAGAATTAAGGATATTACATACGTTTTTTTCTAAAGACATTCTTTTAAGCTTCCGTGTTGACTTTTGGTAGCGACGAACATGACTATCATACATCGCTAAGTATGATAAGTGAATACAATACTCGAACATGAAAAACCGTACAATAGAATCAAACTACTAAACATTGATTCATAACTAACTTCACCCTAGCAAAGCAAATAGCCAAAAGATTTTTCACTATTATTACTTCAATTATTTACTTTTTCTGTTTTTAATAAACATTTCTTTGTCACATTCTCAATCATGACGAGTATAACATGTTTTGAAATGTTTTAGATAATTTGAAAATACTTCTCCTACATGACATATATCGATTTAGATGATTTCATAGGTTTTTTTAAATAGGTGATTTTTGTTGACATTCCGACAAATGTAATATGTTCATATAAAAAAAATTCTTTTATATATCTTTACATGCATTCATTTGAGTCGTTCTAATCGATGATCTATGGTAAATTACTCGAAGATTCTATTTGTATCATTTTATGGAGAAAAAATTGTGGAGAGATTCATGGTCCATGCTCTCAACACCTTTAGAAATTATCATTGAAAGAGTTTTGCATACGAATAATAATCACAACATGAGTTTTGCTGCTAGAGATTTGAAGAGTTGCGTTTAATAAAAATGAACAGCCTTCATTTAAATGGCATTTGACAGAGAACACTTCTAAGCTATATTAGAAATGAAAAACCAAAAATCGAAAAAAATTTAAATTTTAACTTTTGGATAGGTAAAAGGGTTCCTTGTAAACTGACAGTGCTTAAGAGATAAAAAGTGGATAAATCATAAATGTTATAGTTTAATCATTATTCTTCATAGAGTTGTTGAGTAAGAAAATGTAAACTTATTTTTTCTGCATGTTTCTAGAGAAAAACATCGTCGATTAAGGTTTCAAGGATACGTCAGTCTGTCTTATACGTTGTACACGTAAGAGTTGTCCTAAATTGACATTGGGCGATGGTGAAAAAGTATACTAAAATCGATTAAAAATTCAAGGTACTAACTTCAATTAAATCGTTATCCTTCTGTTCAACAAGATAAGATTCAATGTCGTTTATCAATATTTCCATTGTTGAACTCTCTTCAGTCAGTAGATATCGTGACCTAGATGAGAATTTTTCATATGATATGCTTGAAACGATTTCGTTTGTTTTAATTTTTCTAATATCCTATTATATACTTGTTCAAGATTAGATAGTTGATTTTCTACTGTTTGTTGAATAGATACAAGCAACAGTTGTTTTTTATCTTAAAATCCAGTGATAAAGAAAAATAGATTGCTCATTTTTTCTTACTTTTCGTTAGTGTCATGTCATTTACCTTAGTTTCAATTGCTTTCCATTTACTTTTTAATTCTATAAGATGTTGTTGAGCATATTTGACACATTTTGCTTCTTCACAGACTTCACATGCTTGTAATTCTGTTTTAGTTTTGCTATAAGCTTGGTAATGTTTTATTTCGATGTCAAGAGAATAACTGGCAATATTTGTTTTTGTGATAATATTTTATCAGACAAATTTAAATGAAAAAGTATTCTTAAAGTTTGTCGTACTACAATGATAAATACAAGTCATTGTCTAAAGACCAGTAAATTCATAGTATCGAATTGCATTATTATTTATAAAACTTTTATTGTCAATAATTGAAGAAGGGTCAAACAAAATAAAGATAACAAAAAGACGCTAGCCATTAACTAATTTCTCATCTCAAAAAAAGAAATATAGAGGGTTCAGGTATTATGAGGATGCCTATTCCATCAAATCAGAACTTCGAAAATGAAATCATCAATAGAAAATGGTTTGGATTTGATGAAATATGATTCTAATAAAATTAATATTTTCAACACTGAAATTAAATAAAATATGAAGAAGTAAGTATCATATATATGTGATTATTTATCATATTGTAGTTGATTATTTCGCTATGGATTTAAATGCAAGTTGTAAGTTTCTAAACATATTATTTTCATCTTGGGAAGCATGATGTAAAAGTAAGCAGACCGTCATGAACTCATGAGCAACGCTTGATAATTATAGCTCACATATTTTTTTGATATTGACTATTTTATTTGTTTCTTTAAAGGTTAACATATCAGATACTAATACAAAATATACGAGACAGCATTATATTTTTTTCTTCTGCTCTTTCTTTATCCGGCATGAATATTACAATTAAATTTACTAGTCTCATTTTGGAATATACCATAAGATAAACTACTTTAAAACAGATAAAGAAGACTTGTAGATGCTTAATTGTTTTCTCTGAACGTTGAAAAACATGAGCAGGTTCACCTTCGGATCTCGTGCTTTTTCTGATAAGTTTTGATGAAACTTGTCATTTTTTCGAAAATCATAACTTTTATAATAATGTTTTGATGGAGAAGTAGCTATCAGGAATGACTCTGTCCAATTTTGTTGATATAAAATAGCTTCTAATGATTTCCTTAGATGCTCTTCAAATCCTACTCAGTAATAACCACATAAAATGAAGTAGTGCATACGCATAGAAAATTTCTATGCATTTTTATTTCATCTTATGGAATTGTTTGAAATATTTTCTTCAGAGTGACATATACATTTTTTATTTTTTGAATCTATTATTTTTGAAGCTTCCCATTTCAACATTGCCCCGATATCAATTTCCAAATATTTAAATGATTCTACATATTCAACTGTTAGTTTCTCTATTGCTTCTGCTCTATGCATCAGCAGAGGCTTTGTCTTTGAAACATTCATAAATGAAATATAGTCATCTATAAATTTTTCAATTGATTTTAAAACAACTTCTGTCTGTCTTTCTGAATATTTCATATTATCCGACAACTTCTTTTCAAGCACATTTTTAACAACCATAGTTAAACTGCAGAGATGTCCATGGTGGTACGGAAGATGCTTCAAAAATACTATTGTGGTAGTGGTAGCTTCTTTCTCAGTAAGATTGTAAAATTACATGGATTTGGATACAGTTTGAGTATCTACAAGTCCAACAATAAAAATCATGATGAATGTAATGAATTCGATCTAACTGTGCTAATATAGCATAGTGACGGAATAGACCTTTGAAGAATTTCTTGAAAACTATTGCGACAGTGTCAGATTTCCACTCGTGATGGGCTTCACATTTTAATCTCGCAAAGATTGCGCTAACAGCTTTTTATTTCTCGTTTGATTTATAAAAAAAAGTTGTTTTATAATATCGTTTGATGTTTTATTCTTATCATATTTTACTTTGTTGTCCTTTTACTACGCTTTCTAATTTATTCTTAAACTGATTTATTACACATTTTGACAACGATAAAAACAATAAAAGCTGTCAGTACTACGCAAATGAAATAAAATTTGATTTGTTTTAATTGCTCTTTTTTTTACGTATCTGTGGAAGTAATATTATTCAGTTGTTTTTATTTAATCTGATTAAAGCGTCATTTTTTTCAGCGATTGAAACAAGAAAATATTGATTTTTTTATCATTAATATTTACCTTTCTTTATCAAATAAATCTTTTGCTTTCGTCATTTATCATAAGAACAGATAAAATATAGGTGGCATGGTTGGGGGAACGAAACGTCACTATCGTATATATATATATATATACATAAAATAACGATAAACATAAACGTCATTCAACAACGTATATATTTACCTGCCACTTACCAATTATATAATAACAAAAATGAAATACACTATTACACGACAATTTTCATTTACTAATGAAAAATTTGAAATTATTAGTGATTCAAAAACAGTTTGTACAGTTAAAGCAACACCGTCGAAAGATTACAAAGGACAATTCAAGTAAAATTTCTTCTTTCATTTATTTTTATCAGTAATATTATTCTTATATAGTATTAAATTATCAAATCTTACCAATAAGACAATAGGAAATAATTCTTGTATTGTTGAACCTGATGAAAATCAATCACGAAATTATTTTATTTATTCGATAAATCATCAATCAAATGAAAAACTTCTTTTTGGTCAATTATTTTATGAACTCTGCAATTTTAATGATTATCTTTATAAAATTATTATTGGAGAAAAATTATATACGGTCAGAAGTTCAGATTTAAGAAATCGTCGTTTAGCTATAATTGATATACTTCAATCAAATAATTCTTCAAATACAGATGAAAATACAACATCAAATTATCCTGAAACATTATTTCAAGTTATTGATTCATTTTCAAAGACAACAAAGAAATATCATGTTAATATTCATAAGAAAGAATGGCCATTAGGTTATCTTGCTATTACTATTTTACTTCATCTTCATGAATCTCGACGAGATAAAAACTAAAACTAAAAATACAGAATCAAATATTCAATAATTTTTAATAACAGTAAATAAAGTTCATTGTGTTTCAGTGTGATGTACAAAGATTGAAAGCAGAAAGTATTGAATCAATTTTATTAATTAAACATTTTTGGAAGTTTCATTTAGTCAATAAATAAAGGCAGAGTGTTTATTGGATTCAATGATATTTCTCATCTATATACAAAACTGAGTACACTATCAATTGCATCAAGTAGCATGGACTTTTAGTGAAGGCGAACAGTGTTCACTGTGTATTGAAATAACTAGTATAATTAAAAGCAAATGGTGACTCAAAGGTTTCGACCCTTTTCAGTAAATCGATGATATCTATGGAAAAGCTTTATCAAGTTAATAGATCAAAAACACAAAACTTTGTAGAGGAAGATTAGAGTTATCAGCTGGAAAAAAACCTTTTGAAGTGCATAGATGTAGTCCAATTTTATGGTTATTTTTTTAATCTTTGGTGAATATTTTTCATTTTTCATTTTACATATTTCTGCGCAAAACGTTTTTCATTTATCAATAATATTTTATTTGACATGTTGATTTTTACTTAAATCTTATCGAATAATGTCTTATAAGTTCTATATTGATCATATTTCATCAATTTA